TTTGTTTTTATTTCTTTATGGACTATGGTGTGTAAGAATGATGAAGAAATCATTCGGATTCCCACTGATATTTATTCGTGATTACTACAACCAGCTACTTCTGACTTCACATCGTAATCCAACCCTTTTTAAATTTAATTTTTATGTATTTTTATATGGATTTGGAATTTGATACTTTGAAACATAAAGGGCCGGTGATGTAAGTAAATATTTGCTACTCTTGATGGGAATTTATCAAATTTCCATCTGATGATTCTCTATCCACCAAGATCTCTGAGGCCTTGTTCTTAAATCCTTTTTTCTTTCTAAAATAATTTTGAAGTTGCTCTGTTCTTCTATCCAGGTTGAGTCGTTAAAATGTACCAACAGTATTATATTGTCCTTTTATTCTGTTCAAATATATCATATTTTTCTTTTACACTTCTTAAATGGATCGCAAACGTCTAATGATTATTATTTGCTTGTTTTGATGCTTTAAAATTACATTAGGCATATACAGCACATGGATGTAACATTATTTCAACTTCGCAGGATTACAATATCAAGATTCATCTTATGGTATATATTGAATGATAATTATAATATGGAAAGTTAACCCATCCTTCTTTACTATATTTTCTATTATTTTTTTATCATTTTAAAATATTCTTAAAATTTCTTTTTCCTCCTAAAACCAACCTTTGGATACATAACTTCTTATTCCCAAACCCACTTTGTTTCTTCCGTTTACACTCAATCAATCTCTTCCTATTTTTACTTTCACAATCTTATCAACTTAATTGATAAGATTATGTGAAATTAATTGATAAGATTGTGGAAGTGAAAATGGAGAGATATATTTTTACTTTCACAATCTTAAGCTTAAGATTGTGGGACATTAATTGATAAGTTTGTCGGAGTGAAAATAAGGAGAGATTAAAGGAGTGAAAAAAGAAGAAAGATAAACATGAATTTGGAATGAGAAGTTTTGTTAGGGTTAAAAAGTGGATTTATTAATATTTTTAAATGTTAGGGAATAATAAAAAATATGATAAATAAGGATGTTTAGATAAATAATTATTCTAAAAACCAACACTAAACCAATAAATTATGAATTAACTCAATAATATTTTAAAATATCAACAATAAACCAACAAATCATTAAATAACTCAATAATTTTAAATTAATAATATTTTTTCGATTTACTTTATTAATCGATTTGCATGCTGCTGATAATATCTAACCCTCCTTGTAAAGCAACCGAAAGTAACGGGCCGTTAAAAATAACAAGAAACAGAGTTCCTAGAAAGTTAAGACGACTTGTCGAATTGGGCCTGATGAAGCCCAATTTGCATGTGATCTGTAATGTGGCCAGCGGGATTTATCCCGAAAGTTGTCGACATCACCTTCCTGAAGTATCTACTTGGCTCTAGAAATGTCTCATTGATAGTAGAACTTACAAGTATGGAGAAACTACTAAACACTTCTCTAGGAAGCTATAAATAACTAGCTAATCCTTATCCATCAACCATCAAAAAATTAAAGCAATTAAACACAAGAACAAACACAGAAAATTCTCAATAGCTCACTGAAAATGTCACTGATCCCAAGAATCTTCGGTGATCGACGAAGCACCAGCGTGTTCGATCCATTTTCAATTGACGTATTTGATCCATTCAAGGAATTAGGCTTCCCAGTTTCCAATTCAGGGGAGACCTCTGCATTTGCTAACACTCGAATCGATTGGAAAGAAACTCCAGAAGCTCATGTGTTCAAGGCTGATCTTCCAGGGCTTAAGAAGGAGGAAGTGAAAGTGGAGATCGAAGAGGATCGTGTTCTTCAGATCAGCGGAGAGAGGAACGTGGAGAAGGAAGACAAGAACGATACTTGGCATCGGGTGGAGCGAAGCAGCGGGAAATTCATGAGAAGATTCAGACTTCCGGAGAATGCAAAGATGGATCAAGTTAAGGCTTCTATGGAGAACGGAGTGCTCACTGTTACTGTTCCAAAGGAAGAAGTGAAGAAGCCTGATGTCAAGTCCATTGAGATCTCTGGTTGAAATATGTGAATATATTACTACAGTATCCTATGATGTATGGGCAAATAAAAAATAATTCGAATCCGTAGTGTTTGAAGTAGCTCTGTTTCTGTATCAAATGGCGTGGTTGATGTACTTCCTGTAAAATTTCATGTTAAAAATGTAATAGTAGTGTTGTAATATCTTTTTTGTTGTTCAAAACTTGCAGTTAGTCACCTGATAAATTGCCAATTTAATTAATTCATCATCTTCCGGATAGACAGTTTGGTGCCTATGCCACCGTAGGGCTACATATTTGAATCCGCCTCTGTCACCACGGGACTAGACAAGTCTGAATCATTCAGCACGTGATCATAAGGGGAATAAAAGATGAAGGTGTGAAAGTGATGATATGAATGAAAAGATGATCTATCATTGTACTGTTTTGTTCAGTCCACGAGATTTCTGTTTACCCAATGCCGAATAAGCCAAAGAGAGATCCCCACGTATTGCGTGGCTCTTAAAACAAGCAGAAGCACGGACCAGCTTTGCTACTAAGCAAGCAACAATTATATATGGTTATCAAAGTTCACATGCTGACTTTAGGGAAGATAAAAGTAGTTTTCTTAATTTTAAAAAATCAATTACAATCCAAAATTTAAAATATTTAAATTTTTACTTTGTTATGACCGATATCTTTGAGATGTTATCGTTGTAGCCTTTATCTAGCAAATTGAGAAGTAGATTATCTAGCAAATCTTGTGAGATTCAGTGAAATCAAGTCACCCCAACAATTCATTGTGCAACTCCTTTTTCTCTTCTGCTTTTCAATAATACCATTATATTTTCAATCATATAGTCGTTGACCAGGTGCAAATATCTTCAATATTCTGAATGATGAGCCTTTTTAAAACTTAGATTTGTTGATCATAAGATCAAAGATTATAGAAACAAGATAATTGCAGCAATAATACTGGGAGCTGTTCCACTGTGAACACCACGTGATATCATTGCAAGTTTGGTTTTAGCATAAAGTATATACATTATGCTATTTTTCTGAATTATTAGTGTTTAGAAAATTTTACTACTACGTACATAAAAAGTGTTGAGTCCGACGTTGGTGGAGTGTAGAGTTTTTGGTGATCATTATATGATTTATGGGGCAATTCTCAGCTCTGAACTAGTTAGTAAAGTTAAGTTAGATTTAAGGTTGGTATTAATTGATCTAGCGGCGATAAGAACTCCATGACTCCTATTTAAGTCGATTGAGGCAGAATCACATCAATTCATTGTTTAGCTGATGTTAGGCCTTAATCCTATTTTAATGCTCTCCAATGTCCAATCCTGAGCGCGAGAGTGCAAATATACATCATGACTATATTGGTGGAGTGTGGTTTCTTGGTTTTTTTTTTTGGCAATTCACAGTGCATAGGACCAATTAGGAGGACCCGAGATTTTTTTTCATACTACAATTCTTACTCAATCCACTAGTTTTTGGGATTAACACGTTATGTTAGCCCCAATTTTGTTTTATTTTTTCAAAGAAAAAAAAGTTCTTTCATTATTGAGACATTCTTTGAATATCAACTTATGTTTAAAGACCATAACTTTTATTAGATAGTATGGGACAATTCTGACATTAAAAGCAAATGTTGTGTTACTTTTTACCTCACTCAAACAATTCAATCATAACATCAACTTATGCTTAAAAGAGCAGTTTACCATTGTTTAATTCTCTATTAATTCCCACTTTTACGTTAAACTATTTTGCCTATTCATTTTCATAGCAAAGTAGAGTTGGCATTTTGGCCTTTATGAGGGGGTGGGGTGGTTGAGGTGGGGTACAGTTTCTGTTCCCAATATTCTGCAAGGACTAAGAAATAGATTTAAAAGAATATTTTTATTCTTGTAGTGTATATATTTAATTTAGATTATTTCCAAATAAATATGCATATATAATCCAAACTGAAAACAATTAATTCCCTTGATTTCACTAACATATTTGTATCTGCCAACCCTACATCATTATCCCAATAAAAACACCACGAAAGAGCATGGAGAAATAAATAGGATTGTTCTATTTTTAATTAGAAATTTCATATTTAATCCTGAAAATAGAGAAATTTTAAGTTAAAAAATGTTTCTCCCTTATTTCAAAAATTAGTCTTATGATACGAGGATTATGCAAAGATTATATCAGTTTCTAAGGATTTGAAACTTTATACTTTGAACAAAAAATCTAAGATTGAATATCAAGAATCAATAATATAATATTGGAGCAAGACATATACCTAACATGAATTAGGATAAATTTAGTTATAATATCATAATTAAAAAAAAAAAAATTAAATTCAACTCAATTTCAAAAGTTAACTACTCTAATATTCTCTGTTCTAAAATAAGTTATGATTTAGCTTGAGCACATCTTACTCATTCTTAGATGATTAAGTAATAATTTTATGCTGAATGTAACAAAGGTGATATTTGAAGACAACTTCAAAACTTGGATAACCAATTTAGAGAATTAACTCGGTTATTAATGATTTTTGATTAAGTAAATAAAAGTAAAATTTTAAAAGAATACGATCCATTATTTTATTTTATTTTTAAAAAAATATTAAAATACTACCTCCATTTAAAAAATAGTTACATATTTTTCTTTTTAGTCTGTCTCAAAAAAATAATTCTTTTTCCTTTTTAGCAATAATTTACTTTCAGCTTTTCATGTGATATATTTAACCACAAACATTTAGTATATTTAACATAACTTTAATTCAACACCACAAAATTAAATTTTTATTTTTTTAAATTTTATATTAAGTTCTGCTAGATCATTTTCATTTTCAACGGATGGATGGAGTAACACACAAGAATATTGCAAGATTAATTAAATAAGTATAGAGATTAATTGGGTGAATGTCGAAAATATTTAAAAAAATAAAAACTAATAAGGTATCCCAATAAATGAGCAGTCAGTCATTAACTATGTGTAGTCATCGAAAGAGCGCCCCTACCAGCCCGTGACCCACGTATTCTTCTTCCTTCCGCCTGGCATACCTCCGCAAAACAGAAAAAAAAAAAGTGCAGCTCACTAACATCTCTTTTCACTTTATTTGCCTTTTTTTCTCTGTCTACTTCATCAATTTGGTACTCAAATATAAGATGATTTTGTCAGTTCTTTCTTTCTGAGCTAATTCTCTGTTTTATCTTCTTTGTTACTTGTAATTATTGGTTTCACCGCCACCTTATACAACCCATCAATCCACAGAAAGTATTTACCGCTGCTTCATTTTTTTTTCCTATGACTTGTTTGATTCTGCTCCTAATTTTCGAGCGGTTGTTGAGTTAGGTATGTACCTTGATCTCTTTCTTTAAATGTTTCTCTGTTGGATATGACTGTTTGGTTTTCTGTCATTTTCACTTGTTAATTCTTGTCATTATATATAAATTATTGTTCACTTTTAATAACATAATTTCTGTAATCACTTATTTATAATGCATCATGCATCATTAATTTTAAGAATTCGTAGAAAGAACCCCATTGAAGGGGCCTTGTAGTAACAGTAAATTTATTTATGTGTGATTTGTGGGTCACGGGTTTGAGTTGTAGAAGCAGCCATAACACTCCTTGGGTGGTGTGGCTCTTTCCCGGACCCTGCAGGATGTCGGTGCCTGCCCTTTTTGCCCAACTGCTCCTTCTATGTTAAAATTGAAATTTTGAGTTAATTTTTGGTTAGAGACAGAAAGTGAGTGGTTTATGGCAATTGGCAAAGCAAACTCCACCGACAGTGCTCTTCTTCGTTCTATAATTTTCCCAATTTTACTTTCTCAACTTAAAAATTGATCAATGTTTATACTTTAGAAAAATGGAGTGTTGGACGATGTGAGGTTAGTTATGTTTATGTCTTTAACGATAATTCGAATTAAGTTTATTATGTGTGTGGATTGGGATCTTTTTTTAATAGGAAACTGTAATTGTAATCTATAGATTAATTAAACTATTAATTAAAAAATATTTGTTGAAACACATTCATCAGGAAAAAGTAAGGAATAGGATTAATGAAGCACATCCATTATTGAATCAAGCCGATTTGATAGCACTAAAATAAAGAATTTCACTTTCCAAAAGTGTGACATAACTTTTAAGGGAAATAGGTGGAGTAGAAGTTAAAGGTATAAAGTAAATCAAGTCCTGTTTTTAAGGAATAGTGTGTTGAGCTTTCTGATTCTACTTGGTTGTCAGGGTCATGTATTCATAATTAGCCAAGTGAGAATAGGGACATGAAGGCACCAAGGGTGTGGCCGAGTGATCATGTATCTGTCTAATTCTTGTCTTTTTGGTGGTCAGAGTTATCCGGTAGTTGTGTTGGTGGTGGGTAAAAGGTACCTCTCGAAATAGTCGAGGTATGTACAAGTTGACACGACTACCACCGTTACTTTTAAAAAATGATTATGGCACAAAATGTTGTAAGCAAGGAATATAATATTTCCTTGTCTGCAGATATAAGAGACAACCCATGTTGAGAGATACAAACAACAAACTTTTTGAGTTGTTGTAGTTCATAAAATAACTTTTATGCCCATCTCTTTCAACTTTTTTATCTTTGTAATGAGAGGAACCATGAGTCCTATGTTCATTGTATAACACCTAATTCCTAGCTACTGACATCTAATTATGTAATTATTATTAGTGAAACGATTCCATGAAGAGGAACACTGCATCTTTAAAACTCATCATGTGTAATTATTTCTGGCTTTTTTACTTTATGCTTATGTTACACTATAATCTACTGCAACTTGCATCAAAAGTGGCTAAACATGTGAATAATCTCTTGTGTTTGCTTGTTTACCTCTGCCAGGGGTTCGGAAATTCATGCACGGTGTAGCAAATGGAAAGGCAGCTTAAGCAGAATGGTGAAAGAAAGAGAATCGAGAATGAGGAGCTTGTTAAATACATGTCAAGGTTGCCTAGTTATCTTGAAAAGGGGGAAAATCTTCAGGACAAAGCTTTCAGTGTCGGTGTCCTAGATTGGCGTTTTCTTGAAAAATGGCGACACGATCACGTAAATGTACCTTGTAGAAGTAGTGTGTGTTCACCATCAAGCAGCAATACTTTGTCAGTTTCCTCAATGGAGGGATCTTCATCCAATTCTAGTAGAGCCCGAAGCTGCTCCCCTGCCCATCGAAGGATTCATCGTCTTACACCACAATCATATTATGCATCACCGCTTAAAGGCACTCATCCTGATGTCAAATCAGGAAATTGTGGACACTTGAAGAACGTAAAACCAGGAGCAGCTAAATTTCTTCACGAGAATCAACAGATAAATCTTCTAGAACTCAGGAAAGATCAACACCCACGGAGGGCTTCACGTGTTAGGAGATCACTTGATGTAGAGACATCACTTGATGTAGAGACACACAAGAGAACATCTGGTTCCGAGGGGAATATGAAGTTCCAAGATAGAGAATGTTCTCCAAAAGGAGAGAATGAGTTAGTAGAATCATGTCATAGGGTTGATGATTTTGATTTCATAGAGAAACATAAATCAGATGCCCTTCAAGTACCAGAACCTGGCCAAGAAACTAACAGTTGCACTACTTACTTCCCACCTGATTCAGTAGCGAGAAACCAGGAAGCGGTGAAACCGAGTAGACAGAGCTTTTCTTGTGGATTCATTTCTGCATTCTACCATGGGCAGCTCTCTCCTGATATCCCTAGTTCCTGCCCCCTCCCTCATGTAGCTGGTGAGTCGAGAATGGGACAAGCGAGTTCAATAGATGCAAAGGATACTAGCTCTTCATCTCAGACAATTCAGCATTCAGCATATCCTGGGAAAAAGGCTCCAAGCCCACCCAGAGTCAATTACAAACAAGAGAAGAAGTCAACTGCTATGCTAAAGAATCCAATTACCCCTAAATCTTCAGAAACTACAAAAGTCAGAAATCCTTCTCCAACTCGTCGTCTTAGCATGGCAATAGGAAGGATTGGCCAGATTTCTGGTATAAAAGATATGATGACTGTATCACAAGGGGTCAAACATCCTGCAGAACAATCTGGTTCAGATAAAGCTCAAACTCCGCCCTCGCTTGAGACAGGCTGCAATAAATCAGACACCACTAGCCGAGCCAGGACGAGTCCCTTGAGGAGGTTGCTAGACCCACTTCTGAAGCCAAAGACAGGCAACTGCGATAACGTGACTGGATCATCCACAAAACGCGGTGAATCTCCTACAAAACGCTCATTAAAAGTTAAACTGGATTTGAAGGGTTGTAGATCTATTGATATCGATGATCCACATTCTAAAGGTACACATGCACCATCAACATTGCAAGCTCTCCTCCAAGTAGCTGTGAAGAATGGTCTTCCTCTGTTCACATTTGCAGTTGACAACGAAGTTAACATTTTAGCAGCCACAGTGAAGAAATTTAGTTCGACTTTGAAGGAAAATAGTTGCTGGATTTACACTTTCTTCACCATTCATGAGACAAAGAGAAAGAGTGGAAGTTGGTTAAATCAAGCCGGAAAAAACACCGGTGGTGGAATTATGCCTAACGTAGTTGGCAAGATGAAGGTTTCTGATGTTTCATTCTCCGAATCAAACAGGCAGAAACTTGACACACAGTTTAAGACTAGGGAGTTTGTTTTGTTTGCCACAGATGCAAGACATCAGCCAAATGACGAGCTTGGAGCTATTGTCGTCAAATCACCCAATAGAAGCACTACTTGTCCTAATGGAAGTATCCATCAGGATCGCGGCTGCAACAATATTTCAGCCTCAGGCGTAGCAAATCCTTTTGAAGATCTTAGCATGACAGCTATACTTCCTGGTGGTGCACATAGCCTACCTAATAAAGGGGAGCCTTCTTCACTGATTGAGAGATGGAAATCAGGTGGATCATGTGATTGTGGTGGATGGGATTTGGGTTGCCAAATAAGATTACTTGTCAATCATCGAACGATATCCAGTTGTCTCAGCCCCGAACTTACTGCTGAAAGATTTGAACTTTTGTCCCAGGTATGATCAACATTACACAATATGTAACTCCATTCTTACAAATTATATCCGAAGTCTAATACACCATAATGATCTTTTTGTTCTTGTTTTTAGCAGGGGGGAGAGCAGGACAGCACGCCAATCTTCAGCTTGTCCCGGTTCAAGGATGGGATCTTTTCAGTTGAATTCAGTTCGTCGTTAAAGCTTCTGCAGGCATTCTCCATTTGTATAGCAGTTCTAAATGGAAGAAATCAAGAAATCTTCTGAAGTGAATCAATACATTGCCAGAATATCCAGAGGGAGCCCAGGTGGAGTTTTCTGCTAAATTTGTCTCAACTCTTCACTTTCCCCAATTGGAAAGGTCTGAAATTGCTACCAAACATTGGTGAAACATCAAACTAAGGCTCTATAGTTCTTTTTTTAAACTATAGCTAAGCTTGTAGAATATCAGTCCATGATTTTGATAAATTCACATGTCATGGGTTTAAATATATGTTCTAATTATTATATTTACATTTAATAAAAGGCTAAAGTCATAAGCGGTCTCCTTAACTTGTCCTCATCTTTCACTCTTGACACCTTATCTAAGTCATGTTTCTATTGAATGCTTACGCTATTCAAATAATGTACCTATTAGATACACTTTTACTAATAATCCGTTAAAAATATAAAGTGTGTATTACACTTGTAAATGACGAGGCATGAGAAATGAGTACGAATATTACCTACATGTCCAATTGAACTATGAGTTATGAGTTAGAAGTCCTTTTGTTTTTGTTTGGGCCGTACGTGGCGGCCACTGCTTTTGAAATCATAGAAGCAATGGTGCATAAAAAGAAGATCTATTGCAATTTAACTCTATAAAAGTCATAAATAAAAACACATGGAATATCAACAGAAATAAAGATCTTAGCCGAAATTTAACTCTGTAAAAAATCATAAATAGACCTCACATTAATTTAGCCTCACCTGATATTTATACTCTTAACTTTGGCATTTAAATTATAAAGTTAAGCAAGTAGACGCAGGTATATAATAACCGAACCGAAATATATTAAAGTTTTTACTATTCATGATATAATTGTTGTTCCATTTCATTCATTCAATTAGAGAAGAAACAAATAAAATACATTTTACCAGCCAGATTTTCTAGTAAGAAAATCTTGACTGGGAGAAGTACAATTGGCAAAATAAAAACCATCTTCCTTGACTAACCAATAACATGTTCCAGTATCAATTCCTTCTTTTCCACAAGCTCCAGAATCTCTATACACCTCAAACGCTGAGTCTTTTGAGCCCCAAAAAAAATGACAAAAAAATACTGTCTCAGAGAAAACACTTGGCCTGAACGAAAATGTGAAATCACTTCCTAGATGAGGATAATGCCATCCAAGATCATCATCGCGAGATGCACAGTGAAATTTTAATGGTGGAGTTTGTTTTTCAATACCATCAACTATATGAACTTCAATTTTTTCAATCGCATTCATTTGTTGTACAAATAAAAATGATAAAACTAATAAGATAGAAAAATTAATCTTCATTTTTTTGTGTGTGTTTGTTTTCACCTTCAATAATTCTTATACAAAAGAAAGCAAGTATACACCTTTACTTATACTTGTTTTTTTATGAAGTGATTTATAAATATTTAAGGAGAATTAATTATAAAAAGATATTTAATTGAAAGTAGCTTGTGTCCTATTGATTATGAAAATAATTAAATAAAAAAAATATTGATTTTGGTCTCTATTGCATTAAATTATGGAAAAATTACATTAATTTGAAATCTCATATCCATGATTTTCTTTCCTTTTTTTACACCACAAATCTCTCCATAATTACATTAATTAATCTATTTTTAAATTTCAAATCTTTTCTCTTTCCAATTAATTATTTCAAATTACTCAAGAAGTAGATTTCTTTCCATCACTTCAACTTTTTGATTTCTTTTATTATTACTTTTTTAATTTTTCATCTTAAAAAAAATAAATTACCTCCTCCCCCTGCCCCCATTGAAATCTTATTGAAACTTTGCAATTTTAGTTAATCATATCATTGTTGAAAAACGTCCAAAGAAAAAGAAGAAAAAAGTTGAATCTGCCATTGCACTGCCATTACTATCAAAAATACAAAATTTTAATATATCTTGTTTATTTTGATTCTTAAATTAGTCTTTGTTAATGTTATCATTGATCCGATATATCACTGCTACAATAGTCTTTGTTTTATGCAATGTATCATGTTCATATTTAAGGTATTAATACATAACTCTAATGTTGTTGAATCTTCAATTAGTATTTATCATGTTCAATATAAATGTACTTGATACATAAATTTTGTGTTATGTATCACACACACACACACAAAAAGAAGCTATTTTGGAACAATTACATGTATAGTATTTTTTTTAATTTTAAAATATAGTATTTCTCAAACAAAATAAGATACATAAATAATAATGTATCATGCAGTAATTTCTTAGGTATGATACATAAATTCGAATTTATACTAAATGTATTCGATACATGGCAATTATCAAACAGTAATGTATCGATCTCAAATCTGACATGTTATGACCAACAATTACTTATTTAATGTATCTAGTAAAAATACAACACTTATCAATTTAAATAAGATACATAAATAATAATGTATTGATAAATCTATCCATCTTGAAGACACAATTCAATAAACAATCATACAACATTATAAAACGGATGGGTAGCCAATTTCCAGTATGGAGGGAATACAGAAGGCTTTTCGTAGTGCCATGTTTCACGATCCAAATGGCAGTTTCAGTTCCATTTCTTCTGCTCTTGAAAAGGCACCCATTAGATCTTCTGCTTCTTCTGTTTCGTCGGCTGATCAATCACATCTTTTGCTTACTCGATCTTCCAAACAAGCAGTATCACTGTGAATTTGTTTGTCCAACAACTATTTATTATGCACCTTATTAAATTTTCGACAAATTTGAATCTAATTGAATGGTTCTTCAATGAACATGGAGAAAGATGAATAGGGAGAAGAAATTTGATTTTTTTTGAATTGTTGGTTCTGTTAAGATTTTTGTATGACTGATTGACAGTAAGAAGAAACGTGTAAGCGTAATTTATGGGATTTTAATTGGATTTTCTGATATCTTTTTTCCTTTTTTAGTGTAACAGCTTGATACATAATGTATCAACATTAATGTATCCGGATTGTGTAAATATTAAGGGATTATTGTAATTAGAAAAAACATAGGGTTAGAATGTAATTTACTCCTTACACTATGGGGTTTATGTAAGTTATACTTAAATTATATAGTTGTAACAAATTTTAGTTAGTCTTGTTAGTAACGATGAGCAGAAAATACAAGTAATTACATTAATTACCAAATGTATAAATATAATACATAAACATGATCCTTAACTTGACGTCAGCTGATAACTATGACCTTTAACTTTGAGTGTGCACAAGTAGGCACTTAAACTTGTATAAAATGGAACAAATAGACACATTCTTCCCTATATGGAAATTGTGTGTCCTACGTGTATTATGCCATGTAGGACACGTGGGTCTACTTGTTCAATTTTATACAAGTTTAAGTGTCTACTTGTGCACACTCAAAGTTGGAGGGCATAGTTGTCCGTTGAAACCAAGTTAAGAGTCATGTTTATGTATTTTGCATTACCAAATCAATCACAAAAGGATTTTAAAAAAAAAAAATTTACTGGATTGCTATTATTTCATCCTATCTCATTTTTCTTCTAACAAATAATTTGGACATGAACTATTAAAAATATCTAATGTATGTACATTGTATATATCTGATGTACAAAAGAGTGCATACACACTACACTATTATATATTATATATACATTAATATATAGTATATAATGTATAACCATGTATAGATAATGTATCCATGCGATTCTATTACAAAATCAAAGGTGAATTAGGACATCTTCTACGGCAAATTTTTATCTTGTTTGTCTAACTAGTGTCAATTATTATCAATCTATTTTTCAAGATAAATTTCAAATCTAGAATAATTGGTGAATGATTACGTGAAATTAATTACATTTTCTACTCTAGAATTTTTAACATTCGTTTGAAAATTAATGGTCAATAAAACACATATATGTTTGGTTCTAAAGTGATTAGGGCTTCCGCAAATTAGATGACCAATAAAATTAGGGAAAATTGTATGAAATAGCAAACTATTAATTCAAATTAAATGTTATAGCCATAGTTAATTTTATTTGTAATTCGCAGCAAACATTCCATTTTTTTTGCCATCTGATTCGGTATACAATTAGCCATTTTCGATATACAATTAGTCATTTTATACATTTTGGTATAAAATGCGTTTGTGTTTGTATAAAGCGAGAGAAAAGTGTATATATACAAATACAAATACATATATTTTCGTCATATACACTTATAATTATACAAAAAATAAGATCTTATTATACAAATTACAATGTATAAATGAATTTATACAAAACTGATTACTTTGTATAAAATTGAATGTATCTAGCGAATTATATAAATCAAAAACTCCATAACAAACATAAAATTTGCTATGAAGCGCAATTATGCAAACTATAACTATAACATACAAATATGATTTTTATGTTTGCTATATGTGAAAGTTACTCATAAAATTATACTAAAAGACACAATATTATTACATGATAGGACCAATTAGCCTACATAATTAAAAATTAATAAAAACAAAATATTAAAACTGTTGAGAGAAAAATCTTCCCATAAACAAAACTTTCTAAATTAATACATTGTGGATTCTATTGTGTTATGCTATGAGAATGCATCTTCAAACTTTTCTTCTAAGAAAAGAATAAACCAAATATAGAAGAAAACTATATTTTGCTTTCAGAAAAATTTGAAACATTTATGGTAATACTTTGATATTTTTTTAAGGAAAAAAAATAAACTTCAAATAAGGAAAGAAAATCAGGGTAAAATCCTAACAATATATTGGTCAAGTTAATAATTAATAATTGTATCCTTTTTTCCCTTTTTCTTTATATTTATTTGGCAAGTAAATCCTTGTTTGATTGTATATTAGTCAAAAATAATAATTACTTCTCTTCTATAAAAGATGAGAGACATCAGTAGTTTATAATTCACTAAATAAATTCTTCATTCAATGGAACACTTTGGTGCATTTTTTCGCTCTTCCATTTTTTTCATTGCTTGTATTTGCGGTATGTATATAACACAATTGTTATTTGCTTTTCGAATTCATGTACAATATATACTTTTCTCTCAATTAAAACAACGTTTTTTTTTTCTTTTAGGAATGTTCATAATTACTCAAGTTCTCTCAACAAATGCAGAGTTTACCGTGTGTGAGGTAGCAGTTGAGATTCCTAGTTGTAATAAACTAAAACCATTTTGTATGGATGATTGCCAGAATAAACATGGACCTTATTTCATTGATGCAGTGTGTGTTGGAGGATATAAATGTTTATGTTTCTACTCTAGTGAAACAACATGTCCCCTAAATAGTACCCTCCAAATGTATTAATTTATGCAAAAAAAAATTTGATAA